TGTTCTGCTGAAAAAAATGCAGAAAACTGAGGGAGATGAAACAGTTTGGCCAATGGGACATATTAAGATCCTGTGTTAAACAGGGCAGCTTTAATTTACACACAGCTACCGGATGGCAGCAGAGAAGCTGAGGTGTAGCAGTAGCGAACCACAGCATCTGCTTCTGCAGCCACGTTTTGCAGGCTGTGACCGAGCGGTGCAGAGGAAAATCCTTTCCTTCCTCCTCCCGAGGGCTGGCACGGCACCGCCAGAGCCTCTGCAGGCTGTGACAAGCAGAACCTAATTTTAGTAGCTAGACCATATGGCTTCTGCTATAGCCAAAAAAGTCTATCGCAGCCTTATGTAATGTCAGGAAGAGAAGCAGCATACCCAGGGTCAAATATAAAAACAGTAACCCTGTGAAAAATATTCTCTTTGCTACCTATTTTTCTCCACATCCACGTTTTTAGCTTGATACAGATTAATACAACTGAACTCTATTTGGCCTTCTAAAATGCCTCTTTACTCCTTTTTGTACTACAAAACATAAGTATTAAAACCAGAACAATCCACTCCATATTATTAAAAAGAAACCTAAAAAATACCAAAACCCAGATTGATATGTGCACTTCCTAATTGTGCTTAAATTTACACCCAACTTCTGTTCCTGGAGTTTATTTCTACACTTAAATATTACTGGCTCCTGTTATTCCTTTTTCTTTAAGAAAATAAATCAGCTGGTTTTTGTTGGGTTTTTTCTTTACTGGTAATTTCTAGGCATAGAAATTCTTACTGTCACTGTGAGCAAGAAAGAGAATTAACTATAAACAGTCTGCTAATAGTCAGTGTCAAGAAGAAAAGCAACATTTAGCCAAACAAGCATAATAATATTAGCCAACAAGCTAATGATATTATTAGCTGGACAGGACTGGTTTTTGAAAATCTATGATGGGCTTTTTCAAAAAACCGAGCAAGCCAAGAGCCACCAAGAGACTTGCTGTCTCTAATCATTCTGTTTTTTATTTCTCCCCTTCTTTTGCATAACTTTGTAATCCAAGTGTATTAAAATCTATCCAACATGTTGCCAATTATCAAATTAATAGATATTAAAATCTGGAGCTAGATTACTATTATTCATTTCAGTCTTTTTGTTTTACCTGTTTATAACAACATGATATTATTCTGCAAGCCTATTCTAGTATTTCGATGAGCATAAATGTTTTGCTGGTGCTAAGAGTTAGCCAGAAGTTTGCCGGTGCTGCTGTGCTCCACCAGCTGTGGCAGATGTGCTGCGCTGCACTTGGTTGGAAGAGAAAAACAATTATCATGACAAAAAATGTGAAAAGCATAAGAGGTTGTGCAGGACATTCAAATGATGACACTGAAACCTTCTCAAAGGCCTTGCAGCTCATGTTCTTGGAAACATGAAGCCCTTTGAAATGTGCACACATGCCCTGGCACGAGACCCGAAAGCTTTGCTTCTACGTAATTCTCACAGGGTTTTCTCACTCCAAACCTCTCCACCTGCTGTGGCTGTGGCCATTTCAGCTCTTTCCAGTCCAAGATAGCATCTGAAAGAGACCAAGAAAAAGAACAGAAAAGCTGACTGGATTAAAAGAAATAAAAATTGAGAGAGATCCCCCACATGAAGGTACTGAAGGTATTCTGGCAGGAGAGCTGCTAGGGGTCACCCAATGACATTCTGGTGAAGAGCAAGTCAAATGACTAAAGCATT